CACAAATATTTCAATTGTTTTATAACCCAACAACGCACAAAAGAAAGCGATCCCCATGTCCGGGGTTAGAGACTCAAGGCCCGCCCCCACACACGCATGCCAATTGGTTGTAGTAAAACCTAGTAAAATTTAAGCCCGTAGCTAGGCAGGTCAGATAAATATGCAAACATACATACATACATACATACATTCATTCGTATGTTTGTATGTAGTTTTGCGTTTTTTTCCACAGTGCAGCGTTTTCAAAGCAAAAGCAAAACAAACCACACACTTGACGGCCGCATGGTTTGTTTTCTTTTGTTGTTGCTGTTGTGTGACTTGGCAAAACGGTTTTGAGCACTTCTGGCGCATTGTTTTATATTATTTTATATTTATAAGTGTATAGTATGTATTTCTACACATACTACGCGTACTATACTACGTCTATATAGGGTCTATATTTTGAACGTGTTGTCGATAAGATAAAAGGTTTCGTATTGTAGTTTTTGGCTCGTCGGTTTGTTTTCAGTTGTTTCTGTTTCTGTTCCTGTTGTTGTAGTGGGGCCGTGGGGGTTTGTTGTTTATGCCAAAATAATTAAAACGCCACCTCCAGCAAAAGTTTGAACGTGAGTTTGCCACTAAGTGGCCTCGACTGGCCCCCACCGGACACCCCCCGCCAAAGGTTATGTCACCAACGCAAACAACTTCAAATTCTGTAATGCCTCTCAAGAAAGTTGTCAAAAGTCAGGCTTGTAGTGCTTCACAATTAGTAGCCTTCAATTAATTAATAAGGCAGCACTCGCCCTTAAAATCATATCAAGTCGCGAATCACACAATAAACGTGAATAAAACGCGAGCGTTCCTATCGTGCGAAAATCCACAAACCATATGTACACGAGCAACAATATTGACTAAATACTGAATCAAGTGCTGCAAATGTATGCACAAAATACATGTATGTATGTATGTATGTATGTATATATATTAGGTTACGCGGTATCAGCGCTCAGGTAATACTACAACAGCTCGTAATTTCGGATTGTCTGCTGCTTGACAAAAACGGGTCAGACGATATTCTAAAGCAATTTAGGTTGTTGAATGTTGCTGATTGGACAGCACTACTATTCATAACATTGGCATTATCACTGCATCTTAAAAAGGAAGTACTATATTGCAATCATTATTATCATTAGCATATCATCTAAAAAATATCATTTAAAAAATGAAGGGTTTGATTTTAAAACACGATATTGTTTGTAATTTCCTTTTGAATACGAATATCATCAGTTCGAACGTAAGGTAACCCAGTTGTCGCATTATCTCGCAGCTTTTACTTTTTCGAATACGCTTATCACTTTCACCTGCCGATGCCACGAAAGTCGTGCTATAAATCATAAGTCCATGCTGCTTCTTCCTCCCAATTCAGCTGGACGTCGGCTTCTATTTGAGTTAATCTTAATCTAATCACCACATTCCGTGCATGCCTGCACATGGCCTGCGATTTGTCTCCTGATTTTTTTTAATTTCGTATATATACATAGTACTGGTACTTGTGCCCACATATATACTTGTAGTACAACATTTTTAGATGATAAGCTGACAATGCTTGAGCCTTAAGTGTCGCGAACTGTTATGTAGTGTCATTATTATTTTGCTCTTTGAGAATATTAAAATGTGTCTTGTACGAGTACTTTGATGTCCATTCACCAACGTGTGACAAAATGTAGGTGCCCGCAAAAGATCAAAATTTATCAAAATAAAACTCGTTTGGGCAATTTGCAAACTTCGTAGACTTGTAGGGGAACAGCAAGTTCATTTGGTATGCATTGTCGAGTTGACTAGTTTTCACTTTGTCTCGTCTAACGTTTATCGCAAAATTCGATCAATAAGAAATACTTGATCTTTTAAAATATGCACCCTGAGTGTATGTATACTCGTACATACTTATAAGCTAATTAAGTCGAACACATATAAGTATTCGAAGCGATTAGATTGGGAACGAGAAGTGGACTGTGACGTAGGCAGGTTCTGAGAGCTCCGTGACTTGACTCTAGATGGAAATAGCAATCAAAGTCAAAAAAAAAGAAAAAAGTTCTGTCTCTGCCTAATACTATCGGCTCAATTCAGTAAGCGCCTTTCATATCTAAAATAAAGACAGATAATGGAGTAGCTTTAGCATACCCCTTGGGAATTTTTGTTGGGCTCGGTTACATTGTCTGCGGCCAAGCTATGAACTTCCTTTTGCTTATTGCGCATCCCTTTCCCATCCCTAGACCGAACCCAAGAACAATAGGCTCCAGAGTTGAAGCAACTGGGTGGGCTGAGAGACGTTTTTTAAAAATGGTTGGTGACTTATATGCCAAAATAGTCTGCTCAATATGCGAGGCACACAGCTCAGGGAGCCAAGAGTCGTTGAAAATGTCGCCCATCTCAAAAGTGATGGGAGGAACTACCAACAGCCAACTATCGACCCTTTGCTGGGCAATGGCATAACGTTCTAAAAACAAACTCCATTCAAGTTCATTTGGGCGCACGTTTTTCTTGCTGTTGTTGTTGTTGTTGTTGCCGTGCCGGGCCGGGCCGATTCTGTCTGCATACCAAAGAGGTAATTATGAGTAGCATTGTGTGGAGAGCGTAAAGGAAACAAAAGTAAAGCAAAACAGACAGACAGAAGACGACTATGACGATGACGATGACGAAGACCCCAACTTGGCAATAGAAGTAATATCGAATTACTTTCATATGTACATATGTATGTGTACAGTACATACATATGTACATATGTATATATGGAATGCGGAGCCGACATAGAACTCACAATGAGGAAAGCGCGGTTTTCTGTACGGGTCACAAGCCAAACAATTGACGTGCCCGAAGCTTTTGTGTAGCTAGGAGTATTAAAAATAGAACATTTCTTGCGCCCATCCGACGAATGATATTTCAGTTGACAACAACTGTTCTCATTTCATCCATTAGCTTGCAATCTGGTTTGGGGCCTGATTCATAAACAGACTAAATTATTATTATTACAGTACCAAATTCTTTTCAGTGGGTAATGAGAATCGTTACAATAAACCAAAATAGTTTATACATGAACAGAAGGATCTCTTGAAAATATTTAACTTATATTTGCAAGTTTTATGTGATACGTCAAATGTGAAGGAAGCTATAGCCATAAATGTAATTTCAAAACAGATACTGGGTATTTTACAGTTGAGTCCTCATGACTTAATAATTTCATGTTTCGTTTTTCGTTTTTTTTATAAATAGGTTCAAGTCGTTAAACGAGATGGAATATTGGAGGCTGTGCGATCAATGAACTTGCCAAAATGCATTTAAGTCCCATGCTAAAGTATACAGATTAACCGCTCTCTAAATCACAGCGAATAAACCTATCATAAATAATACTATTGCAAAGAAATGAAGTCAATTTAATTGCCTCCACACAGGACTAACAAACCCGGGCAGTCAATGAATGCAAAAAACGTTCGAAATTCAAAACAAAATTCAAGCAATTCCATTCCATTTCATTTATATTCATGCGACTTTTTTTTCTGGTTGTGCTTTATTGTCTGCTGTGAAATTGAAAAATGATAAAAATCGCACGAATCGCACGCCAAAGGCATTTAAATTTTATTTTCTTAATTTTTTTCGAGACTACCCACTGTGCTGGGTCGAGGGCAAAAGGCTCTGCAATTTACACTTGCGAGGGTATGTGTGTTAGTAAGCTTGCCCGTACGTGTGTGTGTGTGTGGCTTAGTTCTGGCTTCTGGACTGACTCTGACTCTGACTCTATGGGCTGCTGAGTCCACACCATACACATATATATATATATATATATATATATATATATATATATATATATATATATATATATATATATATATATATATATATATATATATATATATATATATATATATATATATATATATATATACATATATGTACTTGTATTATATGTGCATATACGTGTTGGCTCTTCGGGGTATTGATTTCTTGGGCACTACCGACTTGCAGTTTGAGGCGTTTTGGCTTTGCTATTGTAGTTGTACCTTGCGCGCGAATTTCACTTTTCAAAACAACAGAAAAGACCTTCGTCTGAAGAAACTACCCTTCGAGTGTGACTGCCGTTCTCTTGCTCTTGAGTACATTATGTACCCCTTGGGTACATTTGTAGTTCAACGCTAAGCTGAAATCAATGACCTTTGCCTGGAGGATTAGTCAGCCCAGTATAGCACAGCACAGCCCAGTCCAGTCCAGTCAGCCAACCAACCGGCTGTGCAATGCGCAAAACGAAATATGAAAACAGAAACGTATATATATACATAGGTATATACATATAGTATATATAGTTCATTCATATATAGTATATAGTTCATACATATATACGAGTTACGTACTTGTATGCATATAAGAAATAATAGTTTTTGCACTCAATCGATGGGCAACATCGAAAGCTTGGCTTGGGTTTCTTTTGTTTTTGAACAAGTGGCCACGTTGAGACTTGTGACATTGGCCGCAAAAAGTTGAACTAAAGGTTTATATATACAAGTATAATATATGTCTTTCTGTATACAACATTGATGGAGACGAGGCTCGTTGAAGTAGCAAGTGTGCTTCTCTCTTACTCATCGGCGGCATGTTCATCATCGCTCTACTCGTATAATTATAAATAACAAAATATTTACGATTTTGTTTAAAGAGCTCACGATTTGAACCCGAAGCAAAGGAAACAATAACAACAATAATAACAACAGAAGCTAAAAGAATGACTTAATTGTTTTTAAATAATTTTTTTCTTCTCATTTTCGAGACGGAAGTTTACCTTTGAGGTAAACCTCACTTTTGATTTGAGCGATGCAAAACGAAAATCAATAAAATAATAATAAGAAATATGTATAATTAATTGACTTTATGATTTATGCACATACATATTTGCGACGCCGTCGTCATCTTCTTTCATTTTTTATAATAGACATCTCTATTAATTTTGTTTTCAACTTTGTTTCCCTTTATAGGTTACCACAGTTCATGCTGCTCAATGCCGGGAAAATTCTTATAGTGATGGTAAGTAGAGACTTTAGTAAGCTTTAGTTAGGGCTCACTGTAGTCGGTTAATTGATTGCTAAATACCTGTAGTTGCAATGACGAGGCATATACGAGGGGCGTGGCTTATCCATAGCTACATATAATTTTTTTTAAAGATCGTTTTGATTGATTTACGATACGGTTAGGTGTGAAAAAGTGTTTGTAATGAGAGACTATCAATATGCTAATATGTTAATACTTAGTTTTGCATATTGAACGAGCGGATAGTATGCGTTGCTAAAATTGAGGTAATCGATATTCTCTTGAAATGTGCAGTCATCGTACGAAATTGGTACTGAGACTCATCTTCAAAATAACGAAGCGGTTTCTCTTCACCTACACTCTAAACTTTCCGAACTTTCGTTTTTTTAGACTCGAAACACATTTTCAACAATACTCGGTCTCATCTTTGTCATCTGGCAAATTTTGAAGCTGAACTCAAAGTCAATTACAAGTATAAGCGCCGCCAAATCAAAAAAGGCATTCAAATTGAAATTGAAATCCAATGAAAAATTCCTCTTTGTTTAGGTTGTTGTTGTCATTGTTTTCAACACTCCAAATAATTATCATAAAAATATCAATAAATATGTGCGTCTGTTTCTCTGTGTTATGTGTGCGTTTCTATACATTTGATTACTATAACAAGATCGAGTGTGTAATCATAAGTAGTGTGAGGGCACAATACATATATATATATGTGTATATAATTTTTTTTTTTGGAGTAGATATGTGTGTGTACTTTGGAGTGGCCGGAGGTCTGCTCGGCTGCTTGGTTGTGTATCGAAAACGCATGCGAGTGCCCACTCGATGACAGCAATAACAAGCAAACCATAGTAAAAGAAACAATAATAATAATAATAAAAAATAATAACCATTACACACACTCGCACACAAACACTAAAACGCCTTTGAACTAAGAAAAAGGTCGCTTCTCATCAAATATTACAAACTGAACAAAAAAAGACAAAAATCGATCTATGAAGTTATCTTCGTCTTCACTGAAGCTAAATACTCTTTATATATGTATACTGTATTGCTCCATGGGGTGCGAATTACTTATAAAAAATACTGTGTCCGTGTGATACCATACATTTGGTGTAATTTTCTATATATGTATGTATATATATTGAAAAGTAAATTTATATATTTCTTGGAATATATTTTAATCTCAATTTCGAAGTATTATTTCCGAATGGAACAAGTATTATACAATTTTATACTTTTAGCCAAATATGTTAACTTTATCAAGGCTTTGGCAGCTGTAGAGCCTTTAAACGTATATTCTAATGTTTTTTAACGTTTTAACAAAAATTTAAAAATAGAAATGGGGAAAAATAAAAATAAATATCAAATTCAATTAATTACCCAACCGGGTACAGGGTATATAAGAGTCGGACCAGCGTACCACTCCAGTATGCGTCTCATTTGGCATGCTGCTTGATTTTATGACATCTTCAAAATGATGAAATGCTGAGAAGCATATGGAAGCAGTCAACAACTTTGGAGGAGTAAAGCCAGAGACCATTCAGCGCTCGTTTAATGGAAGTTAAAAAAGCACTAGAGTCTTAAAAGTGCTATCCCATACCAGACCATTTAGGTGGTCTGTTGTATTGTCGAACATATTTTAAGCAACTTAAAAAGAATTTATAAGAGCTTAGAGTGGTGATGTATGTACCCGTCTGATATTTTTAGTCATATTACAGAAATAAAACTAGATAACAAATTATGGCCGCCATTCGGCCTGGTTGTGGGGCCGTGTGCCTTGCTTCTAATTATGCATAAAACCTCGGACTTTCGCCATTGTTCCATTAAATCCACATACCTATGCAGATACTTATGTATGTCTGGTCCCTTTGGCTGATATTGCACTTTGTTGTATTCATTTTTAACATCATCAATTTTCGGCTCGCTTTACTAAAAACGTGTCATTGATAAGAAGCACGCTCGAGGCACGTGTAGAGCGGCAGACTAAACAGTTGCCAACTGCCAGTCGTGTGTTGCGTCAGTTTGCCAAAAGAGCCATTGATAAACTATACCTGTGGTATGAATAATGCATTTAAATGACATAAGCGGGTATCCTATTCCTACAGTGTTGCCATTGGATGAAATTTCGATCACTAAACAGTATTATAGTAAGAATTGTTTCCAACTTTTACAACTAAAATCGCGAGATAATAATTTCACTAAAAACCCTTACCTATTATTGCAAGAGATCGAAATGATAAAAATGTTTTTCATATAAGCACTCCTTTGGCTTTAGAGTTCTTATTATAAACTGGGCTATTGTAGCTAAAATCTAGACTAGTTTTGCCATGAATATCGTGTTTACATGGAATTTTGAATATTGCTTTTTTTGCCAGTCACTTTATTTATTGCGCCCCACGTTGGGCGCTCATACTACAAAGTTAGAAGTAGCAGATGTCCCAACACAGCCTTCTCACAGACTATCACTAGCATGGTGGCTCCTGGCCAGCTCAACTTTGACCATAAAAACCATTTGGCACACCGGTACTGTGGCGGTCGCTTTTCGAGTGTCACATGTGCATTGGGATCATAATAAAAAGCCCGTCGTATTAATGGAAATTTATGGCAAAGGGCAGTGGGAAAAGGATTAGACTGCGTTGGCGGCAGCTGTGTGCCACGATTTTATGGAGAAACGCGTCCGAATCGCGTCCACTAAGAACACCTTTTATACTTTTATATTTTGTGAAAATTATTGCGTATGATATTGATTATGATTCTTTGCTCTTTGCAGGTAATGCTTGCCTTTGTAACAACAGCATGTTCAAAGAAAACCAACGAATATATTTTAACACTGAAAACCGATGACAATCGGGCCCTGCATATGAGCGCCAGGGGCAAGTTGACAGCGGCGGATATATCATTGGCACGTAAGTAACTTACTCGAACTGGAACTCGAACATGGGGCTTATGGACCCCTTTTATACAAGCCAACACTCACATGCACACATAAATATTTATGTACATAAATTTTCATTGCCTTAGCAAATAAAATTTAAATTAAATTGGCATTTATTTTGAACTCGACACGCCCAGCATTGAGGCATGTGTACAGACATATGTACTATACTCTCGTATGTGTGTATGAAGCTGTCTATATTGTGCTTAATTAAATTATTGGTAATTTAATATTTGATTGATGTTATGCCAGGCATCATTGTTGCTGCTCTTGGGCGCCACTCATGCAATCAGTCAGTCAAGTCAGTCAGACGTTCAGTTTTGTGGTTTTCTTGCTGCCAGCGTCTTTTAATTTATTTTGAATTTGTGGGGCTTAGGGGGCTTGGTGTCTTGGTGTCTGGGTGTCTGGGTGTTGGTATAGGCGTTTGTCTTTGCCGCTCGTTAGGCGGCAGAGTGACTGCGGTCGCCACTCGACGCTTCAGTGGGTTAAGTTCAGGAGCACGTCGGCCAACAAACTAGGTTGATTTGTATGCGAAAGTGACAGTTGCTAGCTGGGTGGCCATTAGAACGCAAAGGTACATGTCAGAGGCGTCACAGAGAGAGAGAGAATCAAATGTTAGTTGCGCAACAATTTAAATAAATAACTAAATAAATAAAAATATGTAATTGCGAACAAATTACAAATGAATATTTAAGCAAAAGCAAGGTTAAGACAGACGAAGAAAATGGAACTAATATCAAAACTAGGACCGAAAACAGTAAACAATTAAACAATTAAAAATACCAGGAACTCTGCATCACACCCATTTGTAATCAGGATCTCCTCCAGGGACAATACCAATATATTCTATACCTTTTTGAAATCCAGACTGATTGTAATTAATATGATTTGTTTAGGAGCATGCTTGTAAAGTGAAGCTATAAAGTTGAAGTTGAAGAAGCTTGAAAAATGTTAGACTTTTCTTGTACATTTTCAGGGTTAACTGACTTTAATTAGTCCCAGAGCGAAGTCGAGGGAAATATCGTCGTAAGCGAGTTTGTTAATGGTTAGGTCTTAGGAAGAAGTTCAACGACTGTGTTTCTGATTGGCGCAGCGTGATAATCTTGCCAGCCCCTAATTGACTTGGTTGATTTATTGATAGGCGCACGCGTGTTTCTGATTAAAAGCTTCAACATGTGAACTCCAGAACTACTAGGCGCATTTAATTTCATAAAATGTTTTTACAGAAAACTCCAGTGACAACAGCGCTGCGTAGCGTTTGGTAATCACAGTTTTCAAAACTTTATCGAAAACCTTTCAATTAATTGGGTTATCTGTTGCTCGAGTGCTGGCAGGCGGCGGCAGGCAGCGTACACGTACGAGTAGATTGAGGCAGACGGAGTCCACGTAGAGGCACTTGCATTGCAATACATATTTACACTAGATATTTGTCTTTTAATTCCAATTAATTTAATTAATTATTTTTTCTTTATTATTGTTTGTTGTCTAGAGTCCTTCATAATGAACGGATCGTTTGTGAACGGCAGCTTCGTCGTCACCATAAATGCTCCCAGTGTGGGCTATTACGTGTGCTTTTCACGTGGCAGAATAGTTGGAAAGGTGAGTAGCAGAAAACCATTAAATAGTAGATAAGTGCAAATATTATTATAATATGATCACACAAACCTTAACGTAACCATATGAGCATTTCAATATTAAAATAGAGCTTACCAAAATTGAATATAAGTAGTATCAGTAATCAGACAGACAAGTTATTTGCACCAAGATTTGCCTAGTTTCATAAATTTCTTGCGTTTGATATTCTTTTATCAAATCAATAACAATTTTTATAAACAAACCTATTTATTACTTACTTATCAATGACAAACTAATTTATGGACAACATTTGTTGCCTGCCTATGTGTCTGTTAGAAGGTTTCGGTTTGATTTCAATAAAGATTGTTAAAATCGGTCTCGTTGTTAAAACGCATAATATCGACTAGGGATATACTGTGCAATACGTTAATTTGGGTTTTCATTTATGATCTAAAACGTTTTTATTCCCATTTCGAGCTTTTATTTACCTGCACTTTTTCGCTATCTACTCTGTCTTTGCAGAGAAACGTCACAGACGATTGTCATTTCAAAGAGGAGATGATTGGCGGCTATTTTAAATACACCAATGCCTATAACCCAAAGCTGCTTTTGGGCATCAAGCGTAATTTTAGGCCCCTTGGACCCAAAGATTTGAAGAAGTCGCGTCGAGTGCATAATGCCTGCTTTCTATTCTACAGAGCGAATGCTGAGGATGTTCGAAGGAATTTGGAGTCGCTCAGAGAGTTAAATAAATCCATTAAAAAAACAACCACAACCACAACCACAAAAACACCAACAACAAGAACAACAACAAAGCGTCTAGACAATATAAAAGGCGATCATGGCGATCAGAATAAGCCGCGTCGCCAGCAACAAATAGCAACAGCAAAAAGTATTAATAGCGATAGTTCTTCTTCAATCCAAACCAACCGGAATAGCAACTATAAAAACAATAGGAACGATAGTTTTAAGCCCATTCACCAAGCCAATACCAACAACAATACTAACATTAGGAGCTCTAGCGACGACGAAGAGCTAAAGAAACAGAAGATTATACATTATAATCGAAACAAGGAGCAGCGCCGGCAGCATCGCGAAGAGCAGCTCAAGGAGCACCTGTTGCAACAGCAGCGCAAGGAACAACGTTTCCAGCAGCCGCAGCCCAAGAATCTGCGTGGCCGCAACCATCCGCGTATGCGTCATCAGAACCATCAGCAGCATCAGCGACAGCGATCCACTGATAACCAGGAGAAGCCCTCCGGCTCCTCCGACGAATCTGGTAAGCAGCTACCCACAGCTTCCTCCTCGTCCTCGTCCACAACATCAAGGGTATCCAGAGCCTTGACTGCCACAGCATCGCTGGCACCGTCGGCTTTGAATTTTTTCGCCATGTGGGCAGCGAGTCGACGAAAGCGCGGCAGGCGGAAACGAGAAGTGGAAGCGTCAGGCGGCGCCACCAGCAGGGATGATATGGACATGCAGCTGGTGGAACAAACGACTGTCGCCAGTAGCGAACAGCATGGACGCTACTATGATGCGTTGCAGTCGATGGCGTCGACGGCGTCTGCGGCGTCTACGTCGGCGTCGGTGCTGGAGGACTGGCATCAGCAACAAAAAGAATACTCAAAACCCCATGTTAATAGTAATTTAAATAGAGTTAATATTGTTTATGATAATGATAATGCAATACCTGCCTTGCCAAAAAACTACTTGTATATTAACGAGCATAATATGAATACTAAAAGTAGCACGACTGATTCTAGTAGTTTAGTAACTAGCACTAAGTTTGGTAGTCAAAATAGCCATAGCCATAGCCATAGCCATACCCATAGCCATAGACAGAGCAGAGAGTTGGAGGAGGAGCGGGGAGACGAGAGAACGGGGGAAAGTGTGGATGAGAGTAAGAGTAAGAGGTTCTTTGCTGACAATAATCTTAAGCAATTATCCGATCGAATTGATGAGCTGAAAACAAAAGACAGCGAAACTAAACAATTAATAAGCAGCAAATACATTGAAAATGTTTTAGAAGATCGCAATCATATTGATGCTAACGATATAAATGCTGATAACAACAAAAACATACCCCATAATGAGAATGTTGTAGATGTGTTAGAGCACCGTGGCAGTATTTTCTTTCGCGCCCTGAATCTGCCACAGCGACTGCAGCTGCAGCTGCAGCAACAACAACATCAACAACATCCCTATATAATTAATCGTAATGCAAATGTTAATGTTGTTAACAATAACCATTATAATAATCACAATCAAGACTTGGCGCCTGATTATGACAACCACAATGCCAATAATGTGCTGCAACATAACCGTAATAGTAATTATAACGAGCAATTTACGAATGATGATGAAACGATACGAATTCAAAATAAATATGAAACACATATAGTACAATACAGACCTGTGGTATTTATTTGGTTAGGGAAGCGGGAGTTGGGATGAAAGATCTCAAGAATATCGGAGAATTGGTAAAAGAGTAGCGGTTCAAGCTGCTTAAAATGTCACAATTTGAAGAAGAAATTGAAATTGGATGGTATTTGGAGTGTTCGGATTGACTTCAAATGAGAGAGTCATACGAAACATAGTTCTTAAAAAAATGCATTCTCATTATGTTTCGTTTTGCAAGGATTGAGCTGGAGTTTAAACGATGGGAGAATATACAGGTCAAATAATCGGTCACAAGCGTCGATCGATGAGACGGCGCATTATCGTGCAACAAACGCCAACTTTCATCTTCGCGATATTCGGGCCGAACACGTCGAATACGGCGCACCAAACGCTTCAAAACTCCAAGGTAGAATACAACAAATTCTTTGTGGAATCATAAAAACAAATCAGCATCGTCTTCACTTTAGACTTCTCCATGCGCGATTTTTTGTGATTCGGCTCGTCCGGTGCCTTCCATTCTGGCGTTTCGTTTCGGGATCATATTGGAAACACCACCAACACCAACACAAAATTTAATGTTGGCTCTTTGTTCGAAGCTCATTTTCGCACCGATAACACAAACATACTGACACTTAAAACGCAATAACTTCACCTCCAATCGATGAAATGTCATGAAATTCTCACTGGACAATCGATAAAGGTAGCAGATTCTAACGCATCAGTCGACATATAGATAGCGCCACCAGGGGGCGCTACATTCAAAAAGTCCGGTTTACTTTCGAAAGCGCCTTGTATATATGAAATATTCATCGAATTGCTGATCAATCAGCATTGAATTCATCACAGAATTTTGTGCTAGCAATTATCCATTCAATTATCTTTGCTAATTATTTTGCTGAGGTTTAGTTGGGATGTCTGCAATGGAGTGAGTAGCACTTATAAATATGTATTCATACGAATCAGTACTTTTGGATATATCAGGCTTCCTTTGAAGAAATTCTGTTTTACAAATTTGATTAGGGAAAAAGCATTTGGATTTGTGGAATTGTGCGAGAATTTCAAATTACATTTTCACTTTCTCGGTTTAATGGACTTACGAGTACTTCTCTTTGTTTTTTTTTAAACCAATTTTCTGAGAATTTGCTAACATTTCGTGCGTCAACTTTTAGTTGAAAGTTGAAATCAGAGTCTAGAAATAAGCTCCTATGGGAGCGGTTTTCTTTGAGGTATTTTGTGTACAAGAATGCTGTATTAAGACTAATACTAAAACGCGATCCTAGCATTTCTGTTTAGTTCAAGAGAAATGTGATTTTTTGCCACTTCTTCAACGGAATTAAGTGACAGTCATATTTATACATATGACTATGCCAATCGTTTGGATGATCAGAGATACTTTATTTAACTGCTTAGTCTTAATTTTTTTAATAAAAAAATAATAGAACGAAATTCAAAGGAAACTGTAAATGAGATATACATACAGCGGAAGAATACATGATCTGTGTGTTCAGTGGAAAACCTTATCAGCGATTGAAAGGGGGGATTTGAAGTCGATCTCAAATGCGCATACCAAGTGTAATACGAAAATCGTGTAACACTTGATAAAAATCTACCACATTGTGACAAACTATAAATCTGAGCATATGACCTCAATATTAAGATAATACGACTTGTAAAGGAGTCGGGCAAGCCGCCACAAAAACGCGCTCGAGTCGCGTAGGCGTCGCGCTTTTCAAGGCATTGTTTCCTCCACGAAAACAACTGCTTGATAGATGTTCGGAAATGCTGCCAACGCGCATAAATCATAAATAAATAGTTTACATTAATGTATGCAAAGTACATATGATTTATGGCTTGTCTAAAATTAATTAAGAAACGAGCGGTCGAAAAAAGTGTGAATGTTAAAGCCTTTTGAAGCGACATATGCAAATTGGTCGCAAGCGCGACGAATGACCGCCGTTCGGCCAAAACAACGACACCGACAAACACAACGTTATAAGGCAGTTGTCGTTGATGCTGCTGTTGTTGTTGTTATTAAGATTTATCAAGTCGTTTTTGGATTTTACAATTTTGTGACAGCTTTGTCAAACAAAGACGACGACGGCGGTGGCGACGCATGCGCAAACTGGCGCCGTCTACGCGCGCCTCGGCCGCCAACGTACGCTAATGAAATTTTATTATATACTAAGAGCAATAATTTATAAATTTGCTTAACAAAAAATACATTTGTTTGGCAATAAATTTAAATACGTATACTCGTACGCTACGTACATATGCTCAAAAAGTTGAGGGCTAGTTCAAGTTGTTCATTAATTGCGTCTAAATTTGCTGTAATTTCCGATTTTGTGAACAAAGAATTAATACTCAAAGCCTGTACCCTGATCAAGAATATACTTGTATATACTTTGTGGGGTCTGCCACACCTCCTTCCGTGTGTTACATACATGCGCACAAAACTAGTATAGCCTTTCACCCTTTGGGTACAGGCTATACAAATTATAAAAGCATCTTATAAGCTAGAAAAGCCTAAGTAGGAGAAATCTAATCAAATTAGTTTAATATCTAATTAACGCCTCCGATCCGGTGGCTGAATATTATTTGCCTTTCGGCTAGCTGTGTATTCTTCAACAGTATGACAAGACTAGTCGATATAGAATTTTCAGTTCGTCTGTTTGCCTGTCCGTCTGTACAAATGTATAAAATCTCAGAAATAATAAGAACTAGAGTAACCACGCTATATACCAAGCGTGGAGTCAGAGAAAGGACAAGTTTGTGTTTTTTTTATAATGTACGAAAGAGTGGGGCTTTAATATGAGTAATTTGGCAGTAACATTCTTTTAGTGCTTATGCGTCCGTTTGTTAAGTTCAATTCTCAAGGAAGTTATAGCCATAAATGTAATCTTATGCCAATCTTTGCCATCACAATTAGATTCTGTTAAATAAAATACTTACGAGTACTAACATTGAATTTGGTTGAAAAAAAAAAAAAATATTGTATTAAATTATTATTGCAAAATTGTCGACAAAATAATAATTTTTTAAATTCCTCCGAGGAAAAATAAAAATCTATTTTATTTAAATACAGCAAATGCCAATTTTTTCACTGGAAAAGTTTAAGATTAACTTAAAACAACAGTTTCTTTCCGTAAACAAGTTCGTAAGCTAATCTATGGAATGAATTAATATAAGTATGTAGATTCAAAAAATAATCAAATAAAGAATTAACATAACAATACTATATAAGTAGCTTCATACCGCTTTCCGCTGAATAATCGCTGCGGTTACGATTTATGCTACAATGTAACACCTTCGCGAATAGATTTCTGCAACAACAGGAACAAAAATAGCACTTTTTTGTTACTTTCTTAACCTAAAAATATTTAAGTGGTATTTCTGTGGCGGATTTGTTTATTTATTTTTTTTTGGCTTTTGTCGCCTCAGTCATCACAAATATTTCAGCCAAACTTTGTGGTGATTTTTTCAAGTCTATGGCATATTTATTAGCCAAATTAGCGCTTCAGGTGAAATTTAAGCAGCTCTTTATGGGAAAATGATTAGATCCGCTTACGGCGGATCGCGTATGTACGAGCATTTGAAATTTTATGCGTTAATTTTTATGACAGTTATTCTAATGAAGAAACGAAACATTTTAAGCTGCTGCTGCTGCTCAAATGACGGAAATGCCTCAGGTGGCGGCCTGAAGCGGCTACCGCTTTGTAGCTCTTTATCTGATACTCGTATATACTTGAGTTCATACATACATACATGTGTATGTATATACGTGTATGTCTGTCTGTCTGTCTGCCTGTCTGTGTACGTTGACTGGGGCCTTGTGTTGATGTTTCTCCATTTTGCAAGTGCAGCTTATAGCTGGATTTGTAGTTATGATGTCGACAGCATCCATTACACCGCATTAGCTAGCGCTTAATTTAATTGTAGTAAATGAAATTCATTTGCATATTTAAGATATTGTTGTAATATTGGATTTGTCTTTTCTACTCCTGGTGAGCTGTTGTGAATGTTTAAGAGAAAGCTCTTGAGATAATGCATTTTATTCGAATAATGTATGCAAAAACTGCTAGGAATTCACATAACCATATACAAATTATACATATATATTCATGATCAGCATGACAAGACGAGTCGATCTAGCCCTCTCTGTCTGTCTGTCCGTCTGGCTACAGGTGTCTTATATGAATGCGCAGTACGAGTTAGTTTTATTTTTTTTTTTTTCATTTTCCCGCTTGGGAATATCTTGAAATTTTCCATAAAGTTTGGCAACAACAACCTGCTCTTTAATTTCTATAATTATTCTACACATCCTACCCTTTCCACTGTTCCATAAACAATAATTTGATACATCAATTATGCCTATTTAAATTGGTGTATGGGCATTTCATGCCTATATACTTAAGTATAGATTTAAGTTTGTTGAAATAATCTGAATTGTAGATATAAGTTGTTTGAATTATCATTGAATTGTAGACTTAAGCCGTAAATATAAGTCATAAATGTTAATTTGTAATAACAGCTGTTTATGTTAGTCTCTTGGTCGCTGTTAAGTTAATGTCCACATTATGTTATGCGTATGCTAAGCCTTGCATGGCTAGCAATAAAGCACTTGAAAATTGGAAGTCGATTTGTGCAGTTTACTTTCTTTCGTTTCGGTGCTCTTCAGTGTACATAAGCCAGTGCGTTCGTGCATATAAGTACAAGTGTACTTATATACATATATCTTTGAGTTGATCGTCGCGACGAGGGACCCCTTCACTTTGCCTACCGGCAACTTTGCATGATCTGAGCGATCATTTTGGCGCCCCCGGGTGGACTCATCGTGGTGACTTGTTGGACACTGGACATTGGGTCTGGAGTCATTCCTGCCATCTGGTTGTGTATCTGGAGATTTGGTTGGACTTTCCTATTTGCGGTTGTTGGCGATGCAGTGCCCAATTCCACAGGGAAGTTATACACAGGTAACGAGTGCAAATTAAATAGCGGCCAAATCTGTCTGATTGGAATTGGCACATACATATGTACATCCATATGTTAATTGTCTA